GAACCCCATCCCACATTTCACAGATTAGGGAAGGGATAATTAGCTCAAATGAAAAGAAGAACAATGCTATTAAAGAAACTAGCCTTTAGTTTAAGCTGAATCTGATAACTCAGAAGACAAACATAGTTCTCCCAGTCCTTTGATTCTCAAGCCCTATCTTACAACCTCTTTCTGATATCTCCATTCAAGGCTTTGATTTTCAAATAGTCATTTGCAATTTAAGTATACATGAGAAGTGGTATGAGTTATGACCATTCCATTCCCACAAATTTTCCTGATTATACAGAAACTCAATGAGTTGTAACACCCTTTAATTTTCCACTAAAATAGTCATCTTCCAGTTCAAAGCTTTCAAAACCTACAAGAGCTTATGTTTGGAACAGTGATTGACAATAGGCCTTTGGGGGTTGGGACCAGAGATGGGCAGCTAATTCTTCAGTAACCACTGTTCTTCTAGATGCCTATGTAATTTTAAATCATGGATTCAGATCTTGTGAATATTCCTTGTGCCATTTGGGATGCTTGATTCTTGAATGAGTGAAGGAATTCATAAGAGCAATCTTAAGTGGAAATAAACACTTGAGATTACTGACTGGTACCATCGGGTATAATTTGCTGATCTCAATATTTGTTACTCATTCTCCAAACACCAATTCTAGTGCAATCTTAATTTGTAAAATTGTAAGAAATCCTTGTCAGAGTGACTTATTCAAGAACAGAAAATTGCCACAACATTTAAGCACTGAAAAAGGATTATCTATTTTCTTGTCAAGTTCTGTCTTTCGTGTATGGAGTTGACTCTTTCAGTGGTGTCACAAAAGATAATCACATTTAACAGGTGTTTCTTTGCCAGTACTGGGGCTTGAACTCAAGACCTTATACTTTCACTTGGCTGTTTCGCTCAAGGCTGGTGCTCTGCCATTTCAGTGACATCTCCACATCTGGCTTCTTAGTGGTTAATTGGAGAAAAGTGCTCACAGACTTTTCTGCCCAGGGCTAGCTTTGAACCATGATCCTCAAATCTCAGCCTCCTGAGTAGCTAGGCTTACAGGTGTAAGGTTTCAGCACCCAGTTCAGGTTTGTTTGTTTTTAATATGCCAGCTTTAACCTGATAATAGTCCACTGTATTTCTCTAATAAAAATGACCAATGAAATTCTAGAAGTAGTATAATCTTGGACTAGCATGTACCTTCATTCTATGAATACTTGTTGAATACCCTCTATGTGCTAGACATTGTTTTAGGCATTGATGATTGTACAGAAGTGAACAAGGAAAAGGAAGTCTTTTACCAACCCAGTGACTAAGAGAAACATGACAGTGAGTGCCACTCTAGGAAAAATTTAGGCTGATAATTCAGAAACTTGCCCTTGTTTTTTTTTTAATTTAACAAATATTTTTAGTAGCAAATATATGTTAGGCATTATCCTAGAAGCTGGGGAGACAGAGGTAGTAAAGCAAGAAAAAGTATCAAAGTCTCTGTTCTTGAAATGCCTCATTGTTTTTTTGAAGGTCAAATCTACATCACAGTTCTTTATCAGCTTCATTAATCAAACCAGTGGCCTTCAAAGAGTAATGTTTTTGACAATAAGTGGACAGGAGATGTAGATAATGTATGACTAATTCAATAATGCTTCTATACTTGCAATACCATAATACAGTGCAAATACTATCGTATCTTTCTAGTGAAATTTATTTAATTTTAAAAGCTGAGTTTAGTCAAAAATACTTAGGAATTAAGCATAACTTGTATGCAGACTTGCAAGAAACAGTTTTGATGTTGTACATGCAAAAAATAATAATGAAACACATTTTTCACCCAAAGTTGGTCTTGTACAATTATGTCATCATTCCATTGTCCAAATTCTCAAATGAGGTTTTTATCTTTTTTTTTTTTAGCAGTAGGATGTATACTCAATCTTGGGGATACATGAAATGGGGACAGATGGAATATACTTTACTACTATCTGCTGTGAACTGCTTGAAAACAGGAAAGTTTTCTCTTACCCATAGCTTTCAACATCTCAACACTTAGTAGGTACTAAATAAATGCTGCATGGAGAAGTGAAAGAAGGTATTAATGAACTCCAGCTCTTTTACAGCACTCCCACTGCAGAGAATGCCCTGGCCTGACTGAATGTAATTAGCCATAGGGCACGAGAGGGAACAGTCTCAGTGAACCAATCACTCTACAAGAATGATTTAGGACTCTGCCCTGAAGATTCAGATCTGCCTTTCTAATAGAAAAGAACATAAAAGAGATTAACCTCTCTGCTATGTAACGACAGACCAATTGGTCTAGCTTGCCTTATATCACTGTCATAGAAGAACGGAGATAATGAAAACCCCTCACCAAGTTCTGTGTATTTTTAAGAAGATTGATTAAATTAAGCTCCCATTAAATAATCTCTGACCACCACTGGAGTCTCAGTATTATGCAAATAATTCAGACAACCTATGGAAAACTGAATTATAAACTGAGTTTTCTTTGAACCTACAGAAATTGAAAAAAAGCAGAGGGAACAACCTTCCTTTGAAAATGACAATCTTTGAAGATGACAAATAACATTCTAAAACCTTTGAAAAATGACAAATAACATTCTAAAACCTTTAGGAAATGACAAATAACATTCTAGCAATTTTATGTAAGAGAAAAAAATTAGTATGCTAAAAATATAGCTACCTTCCTTAATTTCTGCAGCTTTAGGGTAAAATTTCCTATCTTATATGTTAATTCCTGCCCTTCACTACTAAGGAAATTATTGTTTCAAGATTTTGGATGAATACAAGATTATTCATGCATTTGTCACAAAAAAATTATTCAAAGTAGTTTCATTTCAAAGAATTAAGAATTCAATTACAACAAATAGATCATATTTTTGGAATAGGTAATATCTCACATTCATATTGGTTTAGCCAGAAATTATTCTCTTTTCCTTCCCAAATGGTGATTTTGTTCATGATTACTAACACACAATTGAAGTGAGTATCCTGGTCCTATAAATTCATTCTCAAGTTTTGTCCTGTGTCATGCAAAAGGTTTTTACCCTATGAGGCAAGTTTGGTAGATGGCCATTTCCAAGTCCTCTTGTTTTCATCAGGCTAATTTCACAAGACTTCCTGAATCTATTTGGTAGGAAAGGGATCCAAACTTCCATGTCTGAAATTAAATTCTCCCAGCAGGAACCCCTCCAACAGTGGTCATGGCTTTACTTTCTCTTTTGCCAGCTATGAGTCAAGTAGAATGAAATGGAGATGGTCTGCTCCGTCTTTAAACTTGATATTCTCCAAAGACAGTGCATGGTTTCCTCAATCGGAACAATTACTGGAAACAGGACTCAATCCCAGTTCCTCCCGGAGTTCACTGTAAATAGCTTGACGAGAGGGAAAAATGGCTTTCTTCCTCTAGTTAATCTATCTTTGCTAAGCACTGTTATCTAGATCCACTTACAAGTAGTTGCATGGTCTGTCTACCATTTCTCTGCAAGAAAAATGATTTCTTAGAGCTGACCAACACTTCCATGTCAAAACATCTTTCTAGGAAAGTACATTTTATAAAACAAAACTATGGTAAAGCAGATAAACAAGGTGCTTTCCAAAGACCAAACAAGCAAGGATTCTTTCTTCATTAATTCATCTGCATATTTACACTTCCATTTTTGGTGGGGGGGGACATGTCAAGTAAGAGATTAGAAGGCAATTTTCACATAAAGGCTGCAAAGAAACATGATGTTATTCTGTGGACATTACTTGATTGTTCTTCTTGGTCTTTTCTTTCAATTGGCATTTAGAGAACTAACCACACAGGCTGTTCCCACCTTCCTGCATGATACCATTTCTTCCAGTTCTCCTTATCTGTAGCTGTGATGATGCACAGCTTTCTCTCTTTTTTTTTTTCTTGTGGGTTTGTGCAGTTTCTTGATGTTTGTGACAGGCCACGATAGGGGAAGCTTTTATCACCATGGGGTTTGGAGGCCTCAGTAAATTGAAAATTGCAAATGAAATCCACTGGGCTTGAATTCATCAGCTATTATGTCAGATGACCTTTGGCAGCTGCTGATAAAAATGAGAGAATGTTAGCTCTGATCCAATTTTCAGCACTAACCATTCCTTTTCAAATCCATTCACAGTCAGGCAGCAGACACATGGGAAGTGAAAATGATAGGGTTTCAAGAGAACTGCATTGTGTTGCAGATTAAGATTTTCTCCCCCTATTTCTAGAGGTCGGCCCCCAGGCCCCGGTCTGGTATCTACCTATTGTCCAATCAGTTTCAATATCTGCTTCAGAGGACATGTTAGCCATCCTTACAGATAAGTGCTTACAGGAAAGAATGTTGGACTTAATAGTTTTGCTTCTGAGGCATCAAGGGTCGCAGTGTAGCAATATTGACTGGCACATGTTAGTTTAATCTGACATTCTAAAGAATGACACTAGATTCTTTCAGAGCTGTTGATCTCTAGGTGATTTTTGTTACCAGCTCTGGTTTTATAAAATTTATTTTCACTCAACTATTTATATTCATGAGTCAGAAGTATTCTAAAATGTCTGTCATAGCCAAGGACATGTAGCCTAAACTTGTCTAAATAATTAGAAGTGCTAAAATTATGAAACTGGAAAAAAATGATATGTGTATGTTCTATCCTTGCAATCCAGTTAAAGATAGGCTGCCAATAGTGAAGTTGGAAAGATGGGCACCAGTGGCTCACACTATAAACTCAGCTACTCAGCAGCTGAGATCGGAGGATCATGGTTGAAAGCCAACCTGGGAAGGCAAGTCCATGGGACTCTTCTTTCCCTTAACTACTAAAGAGCTGTGAGTAAGGGTGTGGCTCAAGTGGTAGAGCACTCACCTTAAGCAAAATGCTAAGGGCTAGCACAGGCCTTGAATTCATGCCCCAGTTCTGGTATAACTAACTAAATAAATAAACAAACAAATAACTCCCCTTGATCTCCCAGTTACCAGGGGCAACAGCTGAGACTTCAGTGAAGAGATGCATCTTTTCTTTCATTGGCTTGAATTAAACTCTCAGTCCTCTTGATAATTCCAGATTGGATGCCTAAAGCTGCAAGAACAAAACCAGAATTTTCAGGAAAATGTTACTGTATCCAACAAATATGGTAGAAGTGAAGTCAGTGTTCCCAGAAGTTCATCCAAAACAAAAGCAGTTGTCTGTGGAAAATGTAATCATGATGGTTCCGTGTAAGTCCAGAATTGTATCCTTGAAATCTCTGACTCAGGAAAAACTGGAGAAAACACAGCAAGCAGCAGAAGATACAAATTGCAAATAAGAAATGGCAGTAAAGTCTTGGATAGGCAGACTTAATATAGTGAAAATGTTAATACTGGCAAAATTAATATACAAATTCAATGCAATTCCTATTAAAATCCCAATGACGTACATCACTGAAATACAGAAAACAGTCCAAAAATTCATATGAAACAACAAAAGACCTAGAATAGCCAAAACAATTCTAGGGAATAAAGACAACATGGGAGGGATATCCATGCCGAACTTCAAACTCTACTATAGAGCTATAATAACAAAGACAGCATGGTACTGGCACAAAAACAGACCCGAAGAGCAATGGAATAGAATAGAAGATCCAGAAATAAATCCACAGGCCTACAGTCAGCTGATATTTGACAAAGGAGCCAAAGACATACAATGGAAGAAACACAGCCTCTTCAACTACTGGTGCTGGGAAAACTGGGCAGCCACATGCAGAAAATTAAAAGTGGACCTCAGCCTATCACCATGCACCAACATCAACTCAAAATGGATTAAAGACCTTAACATTAAACCTGAATCTCTGAAACTACTGCAGGACAGAGTAGGAGAGACACTTGACACAGGAAGGAACTTCCTGAACAGAGTCCCAGGGTCACAACAAATTGGAGAGAGACTCAACAAATGGGACTACCTTAAAATAAAAAGCTTCTGCACAGCTAAATCTATCACAACTAAGCTAGAAAGACAACAAACTAATTGGGAAAAAATATTTACCAGCAATATATCAGACAAGGGGTTAACATCCTGTATATACAGGGAACTCAAGAAACTAATCCCTCCCAAACCTAACAAACCAATTACTAAATAGGCAAGGGAACTAAAGAGAGACTTCTCAGATGAAGAAATAAAAATGGCAAAGAAACACATGAGGAAATGTTCACCATCCCTGGTTGTGAAGGAAATGCAAATAAAGACAACCCTGAGATACCACCTTACCCCAGTCAGAATGTCCGGCATCCACAAGCCAGCCAACGACAAATGCTGGAGGGGATGCAGAGAAAGAGGAACCCTATTACACTGCTGGTGGGAATGTACACTTATACAACCACTTTGAAAGCAGTCTGGAGGGTCCTCAGAAAGCTAAAGATTGACCTCCCTTATGACCCAATCATACCACTTCTAGGCATCTACCTTGAACAACAGGAACCAATATACAAGGACACATGCACCTCCATGTTTATTGTAACACTGTTCACAATAGCTAGAATATGGAAACAACCCAGATGCCCAACCACAGATGAATGGATCCAAAAATTGTGGTATCTATACACAATGGAATATTATGCAGCCATTAGAAATGACAAAATAATGACATTTGCTGGGAAATGGATGGAGCTAGAAGAAATCATGTTGAGCGAGGTAAGTCAAGAGCAAAGAGACAAACGGTACATGGTCTCCCTGATAAGTGGATGTTAAATCCAAAATGTTAGGTGATACAACAAAATTAACAGGACTTAAGAAACAAAGAACTTCCACTCATCTGGTCGAATCCCTACTAAATAACCCCATGTTGCTGATCACATGTATGGTGTATATGTGTACACCGTTATATGTTATAGACCGTGATAGACAATTTGGTCCAGGAAAGTTAGAATGAGTTTGTGACTTTAAATGAGCATCATTATCCCACAATACTGTGAAATTTGGGAAATTATGTAATCACTTAATCACAATAAAAAAATTTAAAAAAAACACCAGAAAACTAGAAGTGGCGCTATGGCTCAAGTGGTAGAGCGTGAGCCTTGAGCTGAATTGTTCAGGGACAGCTCCCAGGCCTAGAGCTCAAGCCCCACGACTGACAAAGAGAGAGAGAGAGAGAGAGAGAGAGAGAGAGAGAGAGAGAGAGAGAGATCTTTCATGCGATTGTTTCTAACATATTTATAAGATTATGTTTTTGTTGCCTTGTATGTCCCTCCCCCATGGTACAACCCCTGCTTTCACTATATATGATGTTGGTATATGTGGAGGGGAAGGGAAAAAACAAATTGTTAAAATGGGGATACAGGAGGACCCATTGCAACAATGAGATGTACATGTTGTTATGTCGAAAAACGAGCTTTACAACTTTGGTGGGGGGGCCGGGGGGGGGGGGAAGATATGAAGGGATGGGAAGGGGAAACAAAGGAAGAGGCTATAACACTTGATAAGAAATGTGCTCATTATCTTACCCATGTAATTGCAATCCCTCTGTACACTATTTTCACAATTAAAAAAAAAAAAAAAAAGAAATGGCAGTAAAGGAACAAGGGCAAATAACCCATTGACCAATAACCCAGCACTCCAGAGAAGACACTGCCTTTCAAATTATGTAATAATTGCATAAACATATTCTGCATCTCTATGCTGAAAATAGCATATGCTAATAAAACTGAGTATTCCTTTTGGTACCAATAATCAAGATTGAGGACACTTGTGAACTTAAAACACAAACTTGGACACATTTTATAGGATTTTCTTTCACTCAAGCCATGTTTTCATAATTTTGAATTATCATTCATCATTACTATTGCTATCAATTTTATACAGTCACAAGTAACTAAATGCAACATTTATATAAAAAGGATCTTTACATATTTATTGAAAACCTGAATTTTAAGATCAATTCTAACTTGCAAAGGTAGTTATGTTGAGCTTTCATATTATCTAATAAAAAAAATAATAATAATTAATAAATAAAATAATAACTAATAATACCTAATCAAAATAAATAAAGTGGAGCTGGAGTCTCCTGAAGTAAATCAGTGCCTCTAGACTGGTAAGTTCCTCAATAAATATAATGGAATTCTATTGTGAATGAAGAATTGGATTTCTAACTTTCTGCTGACATAGCATGATCCAGCAAGATAATACAATGTATGAACACGTCACATCTAAGATTTCCTACCTGTGAAACACAAAAGCCATCTGTAAATAGAGAAAAGTAAGGTCATATTTTCCATTATTCAACTATATTTTTAAAAAGCTCTTTCCTTTTATCCTTTGAATATGCTAAGCTCTTGAGGTAGAAGGACCCTAAAAAGCATGACATTAACAAATAACAAATAATGGAAAACTACATGGTATTATAAATATTCTCAAAAAGCTTTTAATAAACTTATTTTTGTTATTATTAAGAAGTTGTAGAAAGGTGTTATAATTCCATAAGTCCAGTTATGAATACAATCTTTGGTCAGTGTCATTTTCATTTTTCCCCCATTTTTCCCTCTCCCATTCCTACACACACATTACAGTTTACTTTTTATTGAGTATATGGACTACATTTACTCATCCTCTCTCCCTCCATTCTCGTTCCACCTCTCTGCCCTCTTTCTAATAAAAAAATATTTAATAAATTGAGAAATCTATATTGTCCAGGTATGCAGATTTTTTCTTATTTTTTCCCTATTAATTGGTTAATATTACATTAAAGTAGCTAAAGGTGTGTTGCTAGCACTAAAAAACATTTTTCATGGCATAGTAGTTCTCTTCTGACTTATGGGACTATAGCAATATGGAACCATAAAAATACTCAGATGGAACATGAATTCCAGTCTCTGGAAGTTAAGAATATGGTTCCTTAAGCTTGCTTCATAAGAAAAACAAGAGGAGGAGGACATGCTGAAAGTTCATTATCTTGCACATATGGAAATGGTATAAGTCCTTTTTTTGTATATTTAAAAATATTAAAAGAAAAAATGTGAATGTATATATACCAAACAATGTAAATTTGTGCACTTGAATGATAAATCTTATTTTCAAAAAATTTCAAAAATATATCTCATTGTTTGCTTTAATGCCTTTTCCTGGACCTCTTAAATATTTAAAATTATATTTTTACTATCTTTAAGTAGTTGCGCAATGGATTACCATTCAACAAATCAGTTAACCAATGTTTCTTGCTTACTATCACCCCTTTCATCGTTCTTCCTTCCCAACCCCACCTTTCCCCTCAATTTTCTTGTTTTAATAAATATGCATTGACTGTTATTCCTCCATTTCCCCTCTTCCTCTCTTCTTTCACCAGCTCCTCTCCCCTGACCTCCCTCCCACACCTTTCGAGTACCAGTTTCCTGGTATTTATTTTGTTGTACTGTGAGTTTTCTAAGGAATTACACCATTTGAATTCTCCCCTGATATATCATACTTTAGTTAATATATTTGTGAGTTCTTATATATATCCTTGTATATGTTTATTTGCATGTTTATAAATTAGATCTAGCCTCCACATATGAGATAAAACACGTGTCTCTCTCAAATTCTTTTATGAGAAGACAGTTCAACCAGGTGCCAGCGGCTCAGGCCTATAATCCTAGCTACTCAGGCGGCTGAAATCTGAGGATTCTAATTTGAAGCCAGCCCAAGTAGGACAGTCTGTGACACTCTTCTCTCTAATTAACCACCAAAAATTTGGAAGACAAGAAGTCTAGTATGACAGAGGGCTGGTTGCCCTCTCCAATGGGTAGTCACTAAACATCAATTAGTTAAAATGGAATGAAATAAAAAGTTCCTTTCCCCATTCACACCAGTCACATTCCAAACACTTTACAGACACATGTGATTAACTATGATATGGGAGAGAATAGAACATGTTCATCATAGCAAATTCTGTAGAGCCAGAACAGGAAGTACTCTTAGAGAAGGGATGAGAATGAAGAAAGGTCAGGAGGTGGGAGCAATAAATTCTCCAAATCTCTGTGTGAGCCCTTGGACAAAATACCAGAAATAATAAAATATCTATGTATTTCCTCTTCACATCTAAATTGGAAATACATGCCTATGACAGGATCAATGACTTGATTATTTCACTGGCTGGTCTGGTTCAATAATCATGCTGAGTTCATACTATAAATCAATAATGAAGACATAAGACTTAACAGGCTTATCTAATTGTTCACTATCTGAACATGCAGATCACAGTGGCTGAAAGCCAGGCCCCAGCGCACAGCCAAGTGTGGGTTCTGTTGTTTCTTCTGGCAGGGACCTGTTAGCTGACTGGGTCCAAGCTCAGTGACTTGGGAATGTCACAGTTGCAGATCTCAAAGAACATGCTCATTATTAAATCGTTTATTTCTTTAGACAGAGTGGCAGTATCCACAGCAAAACCTAAAAGACAGAGATTTGAGGAAACTCTAATTCAGAGAAAGACATCACCTGTTACCTAAATGTGACTGAACTGAGCCATATGTGACTCGTCATTGATACAATGTTGTGAAATGTGGACTCTACATAATCTTGATCAGAGCTGCCATGCATCCATTCTAACAGAAGACTAGTTTGGCCCAATTATGTAAAGTTGTAGGGGTTCAAACAGAGCTTACAAGCCAGGAAAGCAAATAACAAGGCTTTCTAAATCAACAAGACTCTAAGATGTTTGCGTTTACCAGTGAAGAAACCTCTAGGAAAACCGTATCTAGGGGAAATCAAAGCCAGCTTAGGATATGTGGACTCTCTAATCTCTACTGCTAATTTCAGAAACAATCATTGTCATCCTTACAAGTAAACTTTGAGTCAATTAAATTATGACTCTAAGTTGACTTTTAATGTGCATCTGGAGTGTTTTTGGACACTATTAGTGGGCATGTTATTTTATATATCCTCATTGCACAGAAGATACTTCTCCTTTCTCTCTTTCTCTAACTGCCCTCCCTTTCTGAGTATGTGTGTGTGTGTGCACGCACGCGCAAGTGTGCACGAGCTACCACTTGAGCCACAGCTATAGTTCTAGCTTTTTGTAGTTAATTGGAGATAAGGGTCTCACAGATTTTTCCTGTCTTGGCTGGCTTAAACCACAATCTTCAGATCTCAGCCTCTTGAATAGATAGGATTACAGGTGTAATCCACCAGCTCCTGGCTGTTGTTTGTTTTTTAATTTTTGTTTTGGTTTTTTGTTGGTCCTGAGGCTTGAACTCTCAGGGCCTGGGCTCTGTCCCTGAGCCTCTTCTCTATGCTCAAGGCTAACTCTCTACCATTTGAGCCATATATATATATATATATATATATATATATACATATATATATGTATATATACATATATATGCACATATATACACATATATGTATATATATTTCTGTATCATGGAGTTTTTGCTATATTGCAGGATTTTGCAGTATATACAATATTTGTTATTTTAATTATTTTTGCCTAAAAATTTAAAAACAATATAAAATGTTAATTCAAACATATTAAAAAGAATTTTAAATCAAAATAAAATACAGTACGTATTTTATCAGTGATGAATACCATCCTGTACACAATAGAAATGCAGTATGCCACTACTGCTTGCACAAGTTTGCCAATGTGAGCTTGTACACAGCACAATATTGGCTGATGGAATGGAAGGTGACCAACCATAGCACTGCTCTGTATCCTGGGGAGGCACTGATTGGTTCAGTGACTTGTCTACTTGCTCCCAGGCACTGTGCCCATACCTTCAGCATCTCTCCTTGTCCACTTCACATCGATCTGATTGCTGCATGTTGTGTTGCTCTGTGGTGTTGTGTTTCATGAAATTTCCATAAAAGTTTGAATTTATTTCAAGCCCTAGGATGCCACCCAAACATTCCGCACCTTCCAAGGCTTCTGGCAGAGAACCTAAGTACCAAGGAAGATGCTTGCCATCAAAGAAAAAGTGGAACTTCTCAACATGTTAAAGGAAGGCAAAAGCTACCCAGCTACAGACCACCATTATGGGATCAACAAAATATTTGCTACACAAAGAAAGACTGGAAGAATATTAGGTCTACAGCAACAATGATTTTTAACAAGACTGCAAACAGGGCGGTCACTTCCCACAATAAAGCCATTGTGAGGATGGCATCTGCATTGGACTTGTGTATAAATGACTGCCAACTGGATACCAATACCATCTGGATGAAGGCCAAGAAACTTTATGATAGTTTTGTGGAAAGCCCAGTTCATAATGGTGACAAGGATGAAGAGGAGGATGACCACGCAGAAGCAGGACAGTTGACCAAACCCATTCAGTGCCAGCAAGGGCTGGTTTGACAAAGTTCAAAGAGCTTTGGGCTCAAGAGCATTTCTCTGCATGGAGCAGCTGTCTCTGCAGATCAAGGTAGAGCTGAGGAGCATATCTTCAGGCTATAAGCCTGAACAAGTTTCTAACATGGCTGAGACAAAGTCAGCAAGTGAAGAAGAAGATGAGGAACACGATGAACTACAGGGTGCAGAAGAGGAAGAGGTTGGCCTAGCACTCCATCGTCTTGCAACTATGGTCAGAATGGCGAAAGAACTTCAGTGAGTGGCTGGCAAATGGAACCCCAGAGGCTTCATTCATTGCACTTCGTAAATACACTCGAGAGTGCCATATCACTTCTCACTCAGAAGAAAAAGCAGCACCAGCAACTCCCCATAACTATGTTCATCA